CGACTTTAGCTGACTGGTTAAAGTAAACCAGATCATGTGTAAGAAAATACTATATTTTCTACTGTTTTTAATTTATGCAATATTCTAAAAAAGTACTTTTTAATTAAAATGATGATTATAAATTAATTTTTTAAATTAATAATAAATTAGAAAATTATTTCTAAAAAATAAGAAACAAAAATAATAATCATCATTATCAATGATTAGTTCAATGTTAACAAATAAATATTAGATTACAACTAAATAACATGTTTGTTTTTCGTATTTATTTTGATATTTAATATTCTATTAGTTATAAAATGCTTTGCAATTTGATAATACATTTTTATAACAATAATAAATTGTATATTTTATTCAAATTAGAACATTCATAAATTGGATGCATATGGTGGTAAAAGAAAACAAAAAGTTATTACTTCTTTTATAACAAATTATATTTTCTTCATAGAATTAAATTTATGTTATTGTAAACACTGATAGAAAGACTACTAGCTTTTAACGAGATGTTATTTGTTTATATTTGTTTACATTAATTGAATTTGGGCTAAATTTCTATCGGCCGTTATCTTTCTGAACAAAATTTATTCGCTTAACGAGCAACATAAATTGTAACAAAAATGACTTCAAAATTGAACGCATTATCGTATTATTCAATTATTATAACCATATATCTGTTAAAATTAACGTTTTATATAATGCTTGCATACGTTTCTTGGAATGATTTTAACAGTATTTTAAACGTTTGTGACATTAGTTATGGTCTATTGGAAATCATTAGTTGACTTTATCACGAAATCGTCATTTGATGGAATTAACTACTTTTAATTAATTGTCTCGTCGTTCCAGATTTACAACCATTAAAACATACTAATAATCTAAGTCCAAAACCATTGAGCTGAGAAACAAGTCTATCAATTAATGACGAAAAATAAAACTAGAACGAACATTAGTCTCAATTAATTTAATTATCAAATAAAAATGTTTCAATATTTCAGTTAATTGTAATAATTCTCATTAAACATTTATTAAATTTCATATTCATTGAATAAACCAGCATTTCACAACCTTTTTCAGCACGACCCAACATATTTGTTTTCAGTTATACTACGATTCATTTGTGACAGTTTGTACCAGTTTAGGATACAAGGTGACAACTGTCATTTCGAGACAAATGTTGGTTCGTATTGGTGTTTAGAAACGCTTATATAAACTATATATATTTTGATAGTACAGAGGAATTAATTATATCTATAATCCGTTAATTTAGCATAATAAATATAAATTATTTCGTGTTTTTTTCTGTTCATTCAGTCAAGCCTTTGTTATGCCATTTACTTCTATTTATTTCCTCGATTAGTCCGTTTTCAAACAGTCCGGAGTACGTACTGTGCGAGGTATAGCTGTATATTATTTTCATACTCAGTAAAACATATCCCTGTTTTTTGTACTGTGCAAAATAAGAGACCACACGGAGTGTACATATAATTCGATTTTAATTAGAACCAGAGATTTGTACTCGAATCAAGTACGAAGTTCTTGGAACGCATTTTTCTTTCTTTTAAATATCGATGCGCTAAAATGTAAACAACGCGTTTACATTTTTCCACAGACCACAAGCAGTTAAAAAAAGAGACTATTACGCATTTTTTTAGTCATAGATATTTATAACAGATGAGCAGAAAAATAAATCTTATAATCATAACAAAATAATCTAGATACTAAAGAAATGAGACATTTTAGCTAATAATTAAAATTATATATCAATTACGCATTATAAAATTAAATGTTTTCTTTACGTTGTAATTTAAGCGCGATTACTCTTAAAATCTGAATACCATGAGCATTCTTGTAGGTGGAATGTTTTTGAATCCTACTTGCTGTATACTCGTAATTTTATGTAACATACACACACATCCCGGGGCCGACTGAAACGAACGATCCAATGCTTATTCAAATTTCACATACGTTTCCTAATATCTATTATCCCCTAGAGGTTTTCCAATCTAATTTCCAACTACGCAACTGTTCTCCGTACATTATTCGTTCAATAATAGCACTATGTAAAAATGCCGCGTACTTCTATCTGCAATAAATTTACTTAAATTGGGTAACTATTCGTTGCTTTCCATTCAGTAGGAAATAACACAAATAATCAATAATTTTTATTATATATCAAATTGAAGTAATGCATTTTGTATTTTATTTGTACATTTTATATTGTTTTCATATATTATTATTTGTGTTTGAACTGAAAGAAATTATAAATTGATATAATCTGAAGAATCATGATTAAAACAAGTATAATTCCATTAAGCAGTAGAATGCGTTCCTCGAAATTACTTTGTTAAGTGAAATTTCATTATCTGAGGTAAAATGTATCTTCGGAAAGAAAATTTTGTACGTAAGAAAAGTTTTATTAAATGATATTTCAAAATGTGAAATTACATATAGAAATATAAGTCTAAAAAAGTTACGTAACTACTGCATAGGAAGGGTCTGCAATGTGTAAGAACCCACGAGTGTCCAAGGCGCTAGTTCAAAAAATAAACATAACTAACCCAAACTTAGATTAAGTGATACAGGAATTCTAAACTATGTTAGCATAGGGTCTTCAACAACTCGTACATCTCTTTAATTAACTGTCTTTAGTTATTTACATTTTTCGACAGGAACTTCTTTAATTCGTCTTTATTTTCCTGTCATCATTACTAACAACGTTTTCTAAATCTTACACTCATCCATTCATCATACACCATCATCATCAACATTCACACATTGATAACTTAATTTCTATTTTTATAATACTTATTATGTTAAATGTGCTTGAAATTGTAGACATCTTTATATGGTAGCTTCGTTATCAGAGGTATAAGACTGTATTTGCTACATTTAATTCTAAGTTTTTTTACATAAAATATTTTATATATTAAGGTAATTGTACATAATTTTTGTATGTATTTCTGACATATTCTTCAAAACATATCGCGCATAACAATATTCTAACAAAACAAACCTTTTTGTATGAGTCAACGTTGAATTCTAAAGTAAACAACAAAATACTAGAAAATTAACAACAAAATTCCATAGAAAACATACGCAATAACTATACAATGCGTTCATTATAATTATTTATAATTTTTAATGAATGTTCATTATTTTTAAAATGCTGCATAAACATTCCAAGAATCAATCTATTTGATAACAGCAAAAAAATATGACTAAAGAGTTTTTTTTTTATAATATCTAATTATTTTAATATAGTTTTATTGTAATTTATTTAGAAAGACAGATAAAAAGTATGTGATTAAGTACAATTGATGTTATATAATTTTTATTTACATTTCAGATCCTTAACATGATGTGCAAAATCTGTATAATACATTTAATGTCTAATATTTTTATTTATGAATAATGCTTGTTTTTTGTCAATTTCATTCCAATTTCTTGTTTATGAAACAAGAATATATAGGTTTTTAATCATTACTAATGATAATTTTATAGCGAATTCTTAATTATCTGCATATTTCTTTATACTATTATTTGAAGCATTTTTCTTAAAGGTTAATGGACGTATTTTAAATGTCCAAAGAAGTGATCCGAATTATTTAAGCAACATAGGTTACGCAAAAATTACAGTAAATTAGTAATGAAAAAAAAAAATTTAATCAATAAAATAATTACATGCGTTATTGATTTCTTGAGATGATGGCTCAAATTATACATTTGCCCCAGGCGCAAGATTTCCTTGTTGCGGCCCTGGTATTATGTAATACGTAGATTTTTCCATTATCAAACTTAAAAATGTGATTAACAAGAAATAATATATTTAAAGCTTATATAAACAGTGAGTGAACTGCATCGTTGAAAATAATTTTATGAAGCAATTTCAGTTTTATTATTGTCGTTTATTATGCGCATTATTTAAAGGATTACGTAACTTCTTATCTATAAATAAAATACCCTGACCAATTTGTGTCATGGTTTTATTAGACATTTATTACAGGATCAAAATTAGGTAAATTATTTTTATAAATGTTTATGAAATTTTAGTGTAAAATGACATAGAAATTTGTTTTAATAAGATAATTATTAGCTAATTTAGTAATATTTAAGTAATATAAATTGTTTTTAAATAAGATATTATTAGCAAATATAATTTGATGAAGCAGTTTCGTTGAAACATCATTAGTAATGATTAAAGAATTTAGAATGTAAGAATTTATAACAAAAAATAATATAGCAAATATTTGTTATACATTGCAAAAGTATATGAATATTGAAAAATAAATGGTATTTGCAATAGAACGGAGATTACATAAAGCGGGCCGAGATAAAACGTTAAATGGGAAAAGCAGAACGAATTTGTGAACGGTAAACAATACGAGTTCCTTGTGCGTTTTTCTCATCGGATACAATTTTTTTTTCATTGCAAATTGTTATCATTCTAACAAATGCAACCTTGATTTGTTAGCCGGAACATGTAAACTTGTTTTGTGGCTATTACAGCACGCGTCGCGCGGACTTACAGTATCAAAGCTGTACCGGAGAGATAAAAGTTACGCAACGCGCAAAAAGCATACAATAAATTCAATGAACTTTAAGGTGCCCTTTCGCCGACATCCACGTCGCATGTTTCATGTTATTTTCGACCCGCCGAAGGCACAAAAAGGTCCCGAGGCTGCGTCTCCTCTTTCATCCATCCATCAATCAATCCATTCAACCATCTAGATCTTATGTACACGGAATACTCATTTACTTTTTTTTGCCCTAAGTAACTATACAATTACGCGCAGTTACTCGCGTTTAATATTGTTAAAAGCGCTCTTCCATTCGAATCGCGAAGTTATTCAAACGCGTTTTTGGTTATCGCCGCGTGTTCTGTATTCCTATGAATTATTCAACTCCATTGCCACGAGGATAATTAATATTTACATCAAGGCTATGCACCATCACGTATAATTTACATTTAATATCTGCTTTAAAACAGTTTATTTTTATATGTTTTGTGCACAATACGCCTCTAAATATGGTATTATATAAATGCATCGAAATATATCACCTGGTGTCTCGATAAACCTTACATAATATATTGATTGCATTGAGAGCGTGCCAGTTCTATATGCCTTTCATAATTAGGTTAAGTACTAGAGTAGAGATAAGTATTAGTAATTCAGTGGCGAAAGCATCGTTAATTATAGAAGTGTAATTGTAATGCGTATGTAAATATAATTTGAATGTTATTTATAATATTGTAAATCGCGCCATTTTGTTTCCAGTTTAAAATACGTGACAGCTGGTGCCCCCTCTCGACGAAGGCTCAAAGCGGCCTGACAGATGTCAGTGTGACGTTTAGTTTTGTGGGAGATGACGAGGAAATAGGATAAATTAATGAACACTCGCAGCAATTAGAGATAAACAAAGAGTTTAGTGAAGTTTAACCAAATATTTTATGTGATTTATCAATTTACTAAGTAGATTAATTAAAATGTCGTTCGAGGTGAAAGCATTGTACGATTTCGATGGAGAGCCGAATACGGCGGAGATGAGCATTGTGGCTGGAGAGATTCTGAAGATAACAAGGGTGGATGTTGGAGAAGGCTGGTGGGAGGGTCTGAACAGTGTGGGCAAATCTGGATTGTTCCCTCAAGCATACGTAGAGAAGATCACAGCAACAGCAAGTCCAATCGTTGAGGCACAAAACACATCTCCAACTAAAACAGAAGAATGGGACGATGATTGGGACAATGACACATACTCAGAAATAGGTCAAAACAATAATGAGAACATCTACATGAATGATGATTTCAGCAGCAACTATGATGGAGGCGAACACCATTTCCCAGATAACAAAGGCACAGTATCGAAGAAAAGTCTCAATAGATTTTCAAGTTTTGTTAAGAATGGTGGTGAGGATTACTTGCTGGGACAAGTCAAAGTGCAAGTGAGTGATGATCAGAAAATTCGAATCATCCAGCTGGATGAGATGTCATTTGCCTGGCCGCAAGCCAATGGTAATTATACAGTGCAGGTGACAAGTCCCAAAAAAGAATCGAAATTGAAAGGCCTGAAAAGTTACATTGCATATCAACTGACTCCAAGTTTCAACAATATCCAAGTGTCGAGAAGATACAAGCATTTTGATTGGTTACACGAGAGATTGTCAGAGAAGTTTGCATTGCTGGCAGTGCCTCCTTTGCCTGATAAACAGATCTCCGGGCGATACGAAGGCCAATTTATCGAACATCGTCGTGCTCAACTCCAAGAGTTTGTGGATTACGTCTGCAGACATCCAATTTTATCCAGATGCGAGGTATGGCAGCATTTCCTCACGTGCACCGAAGAGAAATTATGGAAGCAAGGAAAACGGCAAGCGGAGAAGGACCAACTGATAGGAGCTGCATTCTGTTTATGTATAGAAGCACCGGAGAGGACGTTGTTGCCGTCCGTTTCTGAGAATTTGGAGAGCGAAAATCTTCCGTTCATCAATCGGCTCGACAACGTTTTCAAAGTAGTACTCGCTACAACCACCGATGCCAGCAAGAAATACAAAACGCTTTATTCCAAGGAAAGTCTGAAAATCGGACAGAATTTCTTTGCCTTAGGAACTTCAATCGATAATACCGCTATCCCATGTAAATTAGCACAATTCTGTAAGCACATTGGCACAGCGTACATGGACATCGGGAAATTGTACGAGCAGCAACCGATGTACGATTGGGATCCCTTGGGCGATAAATTCTATCTGTACCGAGGAATAACCACATCATTCCAGGGGATCTTCACCGTTTGCAAAGGGGCATCGAATAAGAGGAAAGAATGCGAGAAAACCATGTCCGGGCAGGTCGTGAACGAAATCAAGTCACGTTGCGACACCTTAACGTACACAGCGATGTCAGAGTTGAACCACTTCAAGAACGAGAGGGAGACTGATCTCAGGGATGCCCTTAAGAGGCACATCGAGCAACAAATCGCCTTCCATCAGAACATCGTTGCAACTTTGCAGAAAGCACTAGTAGAATTACATTAATTCTAGTACAAATAAAAACACGGAAAAATTAATCAGGGTGCTTGCATCATTTTCGTTTAATATTTTATTAATTAAAGCATTTACTTTTTTTTGTATATATTTATATACTTTATATAACAGTGCTGTGTTTTTTATCATTTATATCTAATTATATACATGTTTTTTTTTTTCCTGTATTGTAAATTTTAATATTGGGTATTTTACAAATGTGTTTACTGTAGCTTTAATCAATGATTCCATGAATATAATTTTCCCATTCTAAAATTTAAGAAATTACCTAAGCATACTAAACTATATAGAAACACACTATATTTCCTATAATATATTTTGTATTAATCTATTTGTATAAAATAAATAATTTATAAATATATACATATATATATTTATACTTGTAACTGTATTATACACATATAAATAATTTAGTAAAAACTATCGTACAATCCAATCCTGTAGATTATAATTGTTTAATAAATGTACACATTCTATGTAATAAATAATTTGCTTATAACTATGACTTTTCACTCATTTTAAATAAATTTTTTATCAGACCTCATATATCTGCACACTTATTATGATTACTATATATCATTTTAAAACCATTATAAAATATGAAAGCAGATAGGATATTAGTCATCTGTGATAAACTAATGTTCATTTCGTATGAAACATATTTCTCGAGGAGTTTTACGAAGTTGTGTTTGTATCAGATAAGTAAATTGTATTAAATTTCGAATGCGTTGATAATACCAAAAATCTATCTACATGAATCACAGATACACGACAACAATAACTTGATCGCTATATTTCAGAATATGTTTTCAGCGTATAATTTGTGTTATACGTTTATTTTTAAGTATCATTAGTATAATTAGGAAGACAGTACTAACAAACTACGATTTTGGTTCGAAATTTACATCATTATGTTTTATAATTGACAGTCTTAGCAAAATATATATCTCACTCAGTCATTTGTCAACATTCATAATCTAAATGTTTTCTATACATGACTTGTCTATTGACAAGAATTTGTAAAGCGAAAATGTACTATATTTAATGTTTATTACATTTAACTTACTTTCTTATTCTTATTAAGAATATATAAAAAGGCCAATGATCTATGAGTGATATTTACACCAAATTTTATATTGCCTAATAAATTTTTGTAATATTCTGTTTAAAAAGGCGAAGATGACGAAAGTATGATACAAAAAAAGTATTTTAATAGAAAATAATAGTTATTACATATTGAATCGTCTGTCCGTCTACGTTTAAATATTTAGTGATTATTTAACATATAGGATAGCCAAAATAGAATTGTAGCGATGTTAAATATCAATTGACAATGTTCCTAAATAAGTTTAGTTGTATCCCATATGTGGAAAAGATTTGCAAACGATCGTTGAAGACTATCGTTACGTAACAAAATTTACATACGCCGAAAAAGAAAGTTATTATTGTCAATAAATAATAAACGCGAGTTAGTTTGTATGCGATGTGCGAATATTTTTTGCGTCACGTTTTTCGAAAAGCTACCATCTACAAATATGTATCCATTTAGCAATAAAATCATAATTTCATACAGGAAATATACTACGTTATCAAAGCAATAATCATTAAACCATTCAGTGAGTGTTCTTCGCTTACATTGTTAACTTAACATTTAAAAAATTAAGTGTTGTTATTTTTTTTCTTGCAGAATGATCGTTCTTTGCTTATTCAGTGATTAATTAAAGTATAATTATGGCTACAGCAAGGGCGAGACGAAGGGACGATGGGTGTTGCAGTGCAAATTTCCTCAAATACGTCCTTCACATTTACAATGTATTCTTCATGGTGAGTTATTGAAAATTATTCTATTTTGGATAAAAATAATTGGGATGAAATTTTGTTTTAGGTTGCTGGTCTTTTGGTGTTGGGTACAGCGATTTGGGTCCTCCTGGACAAGTACAAATACGTAGCCCTACTAACGACGGCCACTTATCCAATCATTACTTACTTCCTTTTAGCAGCCGGAGGATTGGTTTTAGTTGTTACCATTATCGGCTTTTGCGCCGTGTCCAAAGAAAACAGACCTCTCCTCCTTTTGGTAAGCAATTAAATCTAATTTCGAACAAACGCCCTATTTTTAAACCCCCCTTTATGGATTTCCTCAATAAACCTACATTTTATATATATATTTACATATTACGATTCTATTTCGATCATGTTTCAGTATATATTTTGCCTTCTCCTGATTTTCTTAATTGAAGCCATGGTGGGAATACTTGCGTACATTTACCAAGAACAAGTTCACGACGAACTCGTGCTGAATCTCAATGGAACGTTGAACGCCAATTACGGCATTAACGAAGACAAAACTGCGGCCATAGATTTCCTTCAGGATTCGGTAAATCACTGTTACATCATTAGGACTCGTCATCGGTCTTCATGTCGGTTTTTGGTTTCAGTTTGATTGCTGCGGTGCTGGCAATTACATGGATTGGGAATCGAGCAGATGGCGGATGGAGAACAAATCCGGTATCAATATTGTGCCTGATTCGTGCTGCAAAACTATCACTGTTAATTGCGGCAAACGGACGCATCCATCTAACATCAATTATTCGGTAAATTGAAGTTTTTTTTTGTGGAGCAATGATAATGATTTATTTAATTATTATAGGGTTGTTTGGATCGTATGGAAGATCACATGAAAGGACATTTAATTATTTTAAGCGCTGTAGGATTAGGTATATGTGTACTCCAAATATTTGGTATAGTTTATGCGTTTTCGCTTTATTGTAAACTCAAAGATTTTACTGATGTTCATCTTTAAGTTTTTTATAATTTATTTAAAATAAATTTAACCCACATATTCCCGCATATTATTTATAAAATATCCACAGATTTCTTTATACGTGTATATACAAAGCTTGCATACAAATCGATTAAATCATTATCAATATCTATTTAGAGAGATTAAACTGTTTTATTTACATATGTATATAAATTTATAATTATTTTTCTATTAAGTAAGAATTAGTTTAAACATAAATGTACATACTTGTCCTCTGATAAAATATTACAAGAATATCTAATATTTTATTAAATAAAGCAGTTTATAGGATCTTTCAAACTAAATATATTTTAAAATAATATTTATGATAAAGTAAATTTGTAACATATGCAACCAAATGTACATAAATTCTTTCATTTTGTTTTTCAATTAGTTGTATTATTTAATTATATATATAATATACTCACACTTCTATTAAATAACTACATAATTTAATACAATTTTTCATAACGTTAAACAAAAATTCACTTAATTCTTTAATTTAAAAAAGTAAATGATAAGAGTTGTCTGCTGTTGTTATAAATATAAATTATGTTCTTTTATGTCCTATTTTAACTATGTATATCGTTATCCGACTGAATAAATTACACAAATATTTAACTTTGATTAATTCAGTTTTTATTCTTTCAACAACGAATATTTGTATTTATATTTCTGATATGATATAATATCACTAAATGTGCTTTCTTAACAAATAATAAAAATATGTAAAATATAAAAAAACAACAATATAATTTACGATCCAAATCAAGCTGTTTCTGGATCTGCGACGGTGTAAGTATCTAAACTTTTTAAGTGAAGATACAGGAAGTCTTCAGGAGATGTTAATGAAACAAAGAACCAAGAGGCAAACGCTAAGAAAGCCCTGGAAAATGAAAGAGAGTTCCAAATTTGAAGATCTTCGTGGGTAATCTGGAATATAAGAAGATATAATATTTCAAAAACTATATGATTATTAGTTGATTACGTTTAAAGCGTAAGCAAAGTCTTCAGCAACCATGGCGATTTTATCGTCTTTGGGTGCTGCCACGAGGTGTGTTATCAAGGTAGCCATGTAAAGAAAAATGACGATACAACTTTTCTTATTTTTGATCATATCTTTGATGTTGTCCTTTCCCAAATTCGCAATGTCATACCTAAAATAATCACAGATATAAGGGAATGTAAATTGTTTGTTATGATTTATGTTACTTATCAAACACTGAAAGAAGACACAGAATGCAGAGGATGTAAAACAAAACCACGTAAGTTTCGCTGTAAGATGCGTAATTCTTTAAAGTTTCTGGATCGGTAGAGAATCGATTAGTGCTAATGTAAATTAAATGTGCGAATCCTAATCCACCGAGAAGACCGTGGCAAAACGTAGTCAGTTTCCTCCAAATCTTTTGTGCTTCAATTGCCGTTTGTAAAGGATGAACGGAAGATTTAGCTATGTTCCTGAAATTAATTTGGTTATTTTTTTTAGTATAATCTGTATTTTTGTATTTACTGTTGCCGTATTGGATGGTTTTCCATCAATTCCGCTTCTCGGCTCAACTCAAACTTATTTTTCTTCTGCACGTAGAGTTTATCACTTTTCTTGGGACTCTTTCGAACTTTCTCATTTCTGTTGAATTCGTCGTTTCCGTTTTCGAAAACATCATCTTGAAGGTCTTCCAGAGCCATTGTGACTTCGTTTCTGGTCTCGTATTCATCTTCGCGCTTCCTGTGCTTCCTCTTTCCTGAAACTCCGGGCGAAGACTCGTGCTTCTTTTTCTTGCTCTTCCTCTTCTCCTTCGGGATCATCATCTCCCTGCTGTCACCTAAACTTAACAGATTGTCATTAAGTATTTCACGTCATCGTCATTTACCTAATTCGGACTCTCCGTGCTTCTTCTTGCGCGATTTCGATTTCTTCAGAGAACTGCTTACGTGCATTTCGTCGTTTTCGCGATTGTAGATGTCCTGGATGCTGTTGTACATGTTCCTCTCATCTGTGTCCATCTGGCCGTAATCCTTGCGGCGTTTGTAGTGTTTCCGTTCTTCCGGACTGAGAAGCTCGAGATTCCCTTCAGTTTTATAACAATTATTAGTAGGTGATTAAGGTCTGTTGCTAGTTACCAGATAATTCCTCGGGCATTTTCTCCTCTTCGTAGAAACTCAAACTCTGAGGACGAGAGTCCGAGAATGTTGCATGTCTCACGTCGCGCTTCATTTCAGCTTCAATCAAACTGATGATCTTCGAGTTAATTTGAGATTCACCATCCACACTGACTTCTCTGCTGACTGCATCAATACCTCCTCCATCATCTTTAACGTATGTCTTATTAGAGCCTGAACTCTCTTCGGAACCCTCAGTTTTCAGCGTTTCTCTATCAGAAGACACCTCTCTTTTGGAAGATTTGTGCACTTGCACCACAATTTCAGACTTCATGTCTTCGCTGTGACGTTTTATAGTTCTCGACGGTTTTGGACTCATTGTTGATTTCACCATTCAATACACCTGACTGTCTGAATCCTGGACTAGGACAAAGTATTGATTGCTTCCAACGGACGCGACGCGCGCACCGAGTTTGTATCAGAAATAAACTTGTTGAATTGTAAAGGGATTCGAAGGGAATGACGTAAATAGGCTAAATCACATATATATTTATTATTTATTGTATTTCAGTACAAAACTATAAACTACAAACAAGCATAAATATTTCATTATTGAGAATATATAACTTAGATATAACTTTTTAATATGGCGATAACATATATAAATCTTTACAATATAAATATATTTGTTACAATTAATTAAAAATAAGGAGTTCACTCACTGTGTTCATCCTATAATATATAATTAATTTATGTTTTTTTCGTAAACTGTAATAAAGCTTGACGAATATGAATTACAACATCTTCATGAAAACTTGGGTGTCATAACATTAATTACAATTTATTTAGCAATTAAAATTATTACAAACAACAATTCGAATGATTTTGTTTAAAACTTCTTTTTTTTTATACAAACGTTCATAGAACCTACATAGACGATATATCATAGATATATGGGACCAAAATCACCGAAGTTTCGAATCATTGGCGAAAGATCGTCGGATTCCGAGCTCGAAGGATTTGTTATATTTTTTTTTACAAATTCTGAGCAAACTGCGAATCTCGACGAAAACCTCAACTACTGATCGGTAAATTAATTAACAAATTAGAAACGAAAACAAAGATAGAAAGAAAAATAAAGAAAACAAAACAAAAGAAACAAAAAAAAATGATAATAACTTAAGAAGAGAGGACGAAACGAAAACGAAAAAAAAAAAATAACAGAAGGGAAAATCTAAAAGATGTGGAAATTACCTTCCAATCTTTTACGCTTAACAGCCTAACTGGCTTTGTAAATTATGTGTGATATTTCGAAATTGGCGCGCAGCTTACCCTGCGGACGCGTACTTAGCCTAAACTGAATGAATCTCACGTTTTGATAACTTCAAAACGTGAAAGCATACGAAAACGAAACCCAATATAAAATAATATTAATATGTACAATAAGGCTAAATTATAGAAAAATTTGTATGGGATGGAATTTTTGTATAATTTAGATTGCGATTTCCTTTGGGAGGATTGTACTTATAGGCAGTACGGATGGCAGAATTGGTAGACCAATCGCTGCGAACGCTCCGTCTTCTTCATGATGCCCTTCTTGTAATATTGCCTGATGGATCTGCTCAGCTTGTCGTAGTTCATGGCAGGTCGGTTCTTGCGTTTTCCCCACAAACGGGCTACCTTCACGGAATCTTCTATTTTGAAGACACCCTTGCTTCTATCCAACCAACGAATGCAGGTTCCGTGAGCGCCCGGCGTTGAAAGCAATTCCTTCAGGAATTGCCAAAGGTGAATGTGAGAACCGCCTCCAGATGGACGAGCCGAAGTTGTGGCTTTGGTGGGTTCCGATGGGGGAGGTTGCATCTCTTCATCCTCATCTGCAACAAGCAAAGAAAAAAAAAACGTTTAGATTCGAACAAGGTCTTTCATGAAAGGGGAAAAAGTGAAATGTTACATATAATAAATAATCTAATTGCTCTCGCAGATATTTCTCACACTCTACGTTTCGTTGTTCGATTTGCGCACGATAATTGCACGGCGAAGGTAGCTGCAAGACATATTACTTCATAGGTGATCGGTGAGTAATCTCACCTGATCTCGAAATAGTCTCGATTTCAACTATAAGTCACGCGACTAACCTTCCCGTCTCGAATGGCCTTTCCAACATCAAACTTATACAGTAAACATAAACATTTACTAAAATAATATAAATACAGACAACTTATTTAATTTCCATATAACATACATATTCTTTTTAAAACTTGCATCAAAAACAAGAAAAAAGTAGAAAGTAATTTCCAAAAACGCCTTTAGTTTTTTATTCATTCTCCTTTTATTAATTTAAATATTAAATTGATCTATCTTTTTTATAAACCAAATCATTTTTAACAGAACAAGTTTTTTTTTCAGTATTCCTTATTTTTTATTGCAATATATTCGTATTATATATTGTAATTTTTAAAAGAATTAGTTTTAGTCACCTTGAATCCGTCAACATTCTAATTCTTTAATTTTCTACAAAATATACGAATACAAATCTCATTCAAGTCACACAACAATCTTATGATTTAAATGAAACGTTCATTGATTATAATTCACTGCATTATAAACACTGCACGAGAGTTTAGTGACCGAATTTGTATGTGTAAATTAAATATTGCAAATTTTCCTCATCGATAATAAATTGTAGTAATTTTATTACACTTTTGCATAATATAGTCATAAATAATAAAAAAAAAACATATAACATGTGATTATTCATATAAAAAAACATGAAGGTATGCTTGGAATGTGCGTTAAGTGAGTATTTGTGTTAAGTTTAATTAACGATTAACACAATTATCAAAAACATCAATAAATAATTGTATTTAAATACATTTATGAATTCCTGAATGTTAAATTAGTAGCCGATACGTTGTGTATCTTGTCACAAGAATACAATTTATAATTGTTTTTATGTTAATGAACTGTTTTCTCTTGGAATAATATCGAGGAAAGATGATAATTTTTATATATTTACTGTTAATTTATAAATGATACATTGAAGGAAAATACATACATTTATTGGCTAAAAGTTACCAGTAAATTAATATATTGGAATGCTATTATGATAAATTGTAGTAGTTCTAAGAATGGTGTTAATTTCAAGTTAAAAATCATCCGAAAAACTAATATATTAACGCTAAAGATATGTTGTTTCAATTTTCGTTGCTTAAGAAGTAAATTGTATTTCTTCTAATTTGGATATATGTAAAAGTAGAAACAGGTTTCTTACCAGTTTTCTTTTTACTTTGTTGTTAATTACAACTTGTCTTTTCTTTCTGAGACTAAAGAAATAAGTAATAGTAAGATCGCTCGAGATTTAATCTGAAATAAATTTTGATAATTTCTATCATAAAATTGTTGTTTCTTATGAAAAAAGTAATGCAATAAGTAACAATACTTTCAAATAACGAACGAATTAGATGGAGATCTTTCTTTCTGAATGGGAAACATCGAACGGTCTTTGATCTGGCTGGCATTATTTTAATGGTCTCTCTGTCTATTCAATCAAATAAGGTTTTACAGTTAATGTATTCCATTCCATTTACGAGTTTCGTTCAGCAATGCAATACGAATTTTTGCCAGCAAATCATTTCGCATGGATCGGACACACCTCGAGCCATAAATTAGCATCGGAGCGGTTATTGTTAATGTGTGTTTATTGCTATGATTTCCAATCGATCGCGCGCGCTCTTAAAACGCGCCGAACAACGCAAAGAAACAGCAACAACGGCTACACGCCCGAAGGACGACTAGTTACTTTTCATTTACAATAAACGCAAGAAACAAACATGAGCAAACAGAATAGAAGGAATAAAAAAAAATGCGAAATAACACACAGCACAACATATATATAAAATATCTCAGGCGCTCGTGTTTCTCTTCACGTAACAAAGGAACTTTACATATTACCTTTCCACGTGCACAACGCTACGATTATTATACTTTTCGCATTGCATCGGACACATAAACGATACATTAATTGCATTTCTGCAATTCTAATCTCGATTCCATTCCGTAACATCACATTATTGCAAATACCAATTATTCTTTTTTTTTTATTTCTGCCGTCCCTGAGTTTCGTAACACGAAGTATTTAACTTATATTTACACACATCTAAATCGAACTTTACTAAATTTTTCAATACAACAATTTTAGAGTTTAACAATCTCTTCCTTTTATGAAGTCTTTTAGTTTGCAAAAATGCAATATTTAACATATTTTTGTTCTAAATACATTTTGGTAAAAAAATTGTTCAGAAAATGTAACAAAAACAATTTAAAAAATAACCAATTTGAAGCATTAATTAGTTAAATAAAGTTTTTTTTTGTATTATTGTTGCTTTTGAAATGTGTCTTATTTTGTTGTTAAAGAATCACCAATACATGTAATATCCTTGATAAGCGTTGCTTAACTAAGAAAACAATAGAAAATAACTATTGGAATTTTGTTATTGAGAGTTGTAAATCTTGTAAAAAGAGAATAATAAATAGGAGGAAAGTGTGAACATCGTGCTAATAAATAACTTTGAAATGCATAAATTTGATTGCAAATGTATTATTTATCCGCTAAGGTCAATCGAACACGGCATGCAATAATTAGTCTACACTTTTAGTGTGAAAAATCGATGTTAAAGCATTGAATTAACAATGTTTACTTATATACCACTTGCTGTAAAAACATGTCGAAGTGAGTGTTATCTAATGTATTTTGCCAGATTAACGATCAAAGATCAAAGGTGAGATTGGACTCGAATGCGCTCTATCTGGCAGACCGTGACTAAGAACTTTTCGCCTCCAAGAAATAAATCAAATGTTTCTATCTCTTTTTTTCGTCGTACAACAACAAAAAAAACTATTAAAAATCCCGTTACATTTGTTTTTTAAGAAATATAATTTGAAAAATATTTATGATTTTGTTGCGTTGGAATTGAAATCATTGTTCTTACCATCGGAAACGTCACCGCTGGAAGCGTTCGATGTGGTCTCAGGAAGCCAGTGCATGGATCCGAACTCTTCATCGGAGAATGCAGCCTTCCAGATTTCCAGTTGAGCGTAGAGTATGGCACCGCCCTGTTAAGAAAAGATAAAAGCCATAAGTGGATCATTGTTATGCAACTGATGATTTTTTTAGAAATCATTTTATTTCTGTTGAAATTCAATACAATCCGCTAATTCACTCTCATAACATTGCGAGTGAACAGAAAAAAATAAGTGTCTGTGTTGGGTTTTCGGTGGGAAACCCCGGGATCCGTTCGCGAATTGTTTGCACAAACACCGATCGGATTTTACTTTCTACGCAAACAAACGAAGTTGCGCAAATCTCAGGTACACAGATTTCCAGAGGTGTAATAACGAAGAGGTCTGAGTCTGGCGTCTTCTGGAGGCTTTCGCGGATCGAGGCCAAACGCATACCGAAATGGCGAATCAAACAGGTTAAAGTAACGGCACTTTACCTCTATGAAACCATCGATGCTTTATTTTTGTTACAGCATCCTTCTGTTAGGCATCCTTCACCTTCCTCATCTTATCTATACACATTAATCTCAAAGTACCTTTTCCCTACTTGACAACACGACGTGTTCATTGTTACGTAAATGCAGAGATAATTACGTGATTCACGGATTCGCACGCTGGATTTATTTTGCTGCAATTTTTTTTATTCATTCATAGAACGGCGCCGGTTATGACGTTGCGGAAACAATGAAGTCATGGATTCTTTACAAAACCGCAATTGCAACAAAACCATTTTTATAATCAAATATAACCACGTAATAAATGTTAATGACGAGCATTCATTTAACATACGAGTACCGATTATTGCTTAACTTTGGTGAGATTTTAAACATACTAAACCACAATTGCGACAAATCTATTTTCATTTATTATTACCACGTAATGAACGTCAATGACGTACATTGACATACCGCAATCATTAAAACATTTAATATTAATTTATTATCATATCAATTTATTATATTTTATAACAAATATCAATTCTCAATGTAAAAAAATGAAATTATTCTTCAAACATTAGTTTTCTGTAATTCAAATTTTATAATATCACACATTAATCGCATATCCAACGACCACGTATTGCTTAAGTTTGTTAAGATTTGAAACATCTTGATTCTAAAAACATCAGCATAATACAAAAATGTTAGAATTTAATGAAGTTCCTGTTACTTTAATAAACTATATAAACTATTGCTATAATTAAATTCTGACGATAGCCATTATCAACAGCATCCTTCTTGTGACGCTAGTGACGTTCATTTTATTTTTGAAATAATTTTAATTTTAGTCTCCGGATACCTCAATTCCTTATAGTTCATGATAAAAACATAAAATATGTATCCTAGAACAATTTTAGTACATCAAAAAGTTAGAATTTAAAATATTGAATACGAGCAGCTGCGATTTATATTGATATTCTGGTATAAATCACAATTATTGTAGTTAAAGATTAAATATGAGTAAACATGTATAAATATACATTAATATCATTAATATCATTAATATAGATGAATATAATATTTAATTTAATCTTATTTACTATGATATTAAATGAATTTGAAATACTTTCGAATTGACTAAGAATAAAAACTTTCGTTTCATTTTTTATGACTTATGTTAACCGCCAAGTATTGATGATAAAAACTGTAATTTTCATTTAAATTAGCTTAAATCGTGCGGTTTAAATATTTGTGGTAATTGGAGTGTAATTCAATAAATATGGCGACAACCGTTAAATAAAAATACGTCTGCGGAAAGTTTGGTGCGTCTTCATTAGGAAATCCTTAGAAAATGTTGGACAATGTAAAAAATAAAATAATAGAAGGCGCCTTTTAGGTATGACATCAGCCGAACCGAAGTTACAGTACAAATTAATAGATTTCTTGTTGCCGTCGAAATGGTTTTGCAATATTGTTGTTTGCGTTGGACGAAGGCGCGCATTCCTCGCTCGTGTCGGTTTCGTTCGCAAGTGGGTCAAATTGGAAAGACTTTCTCTTGGTGCCTAAGAAGTCGAAGCTCCTCTTCACCTCTTCCCCGTTCCTCAAGCCTCACCTCCTCTCTACGCCTCATCGCGCCGACTTACATACATTTGCGGAATGCACTTTGGAGGACGTCCGATGACATTGCCCACGGCTACCTATTTCACTCGTTCCGCGGAAACCAAACATCCCACACACACACACAAACTCAATTTTAATGCCCAGTTTTGTATCACGGATAATTGCATTCCATCATTTACACGATGGTTAAAACGATTTACAGTTACTGCGAAGATATGGGTTAATTGGCTTACCAGTGGAGATCTCTCGACAAAGTCCTCTTCGGAGAGGTTCACGAACGGCGCTCCAGCCAGATCCCATCTCTCTGGGATTGGAGCCGGGATGCTGAACTGTCTGGACGTCCATTCCAACCAGGAAAGAACGTTAGACTGACTCCATTGTGATGGATCTGAAAAAAAATCAAACAATCAAAATTAAAATTAAACTTTCGCATTTCGAAAACCTGACATCACACATTCGGAATTTAATCAACTTTTTCGCCTTCCGCCTAATTGCTCCTTCCTCAAAAAAAAAACTCACTTTTGTCAATTTACATATAACATAATCCCAACTATACGAAATTACCTTGACGGATCAAGGCTTTATCTATTGATGTGTTTTTTTTGTATTATTTATTTGAACAATTTAAGTGGTAATAACTTCAATTTAAATTTATTTTATTCAATTTGAAGCGATCCTTACTATAAAATGAACTTATGACGTATTCGTGTAAGTCTTTTTGTATGAAAATACTACGAACAGCTCTCATACAAACTGAAGTATTCCGCTCAGGTCAGTAGTCAGTTTCGATTGTGAGTATGCAAATAGATCGTACGTAGAATACGAAATGTCCAGTCTTTTTAAAAATCGACTTTTTGTTTTACGTTTCCAAGTGACCGTGAAAGTAAACAGCATGAACTGTATTCCATACGCATTTGCACACATTTCATTTGAACTAGAAAATGCCTCTGTTCTTAGCGTGCTCTGTCCTACTTACTGCATGCAGACTAAGTTATTCTGCAGAGCTCGATTCTTTATTATTATTATCAACATCATCATTCCATTAGCTCTTTTTATTTATCCCGTTTCTCCCCACCTCGCATATCTATATAGATTTTCAATTATGCACAACGCGCAAACATTTTACATTTGTCGTTTTTCGTCCTTCCTCGTCGAGATTGAGTAATTGGTGCAATTACCAAGTTACACCCATGTTTGCTCGATGTGAAGTAAGTAGCCTTGCCACGCCTAGAACGAATGCCCCAGTAGCTTACAATGCGAGATCAATCAAACTGGATTGAAAAATTCTTCGCACGAGATTTTTCACGAAAATTTTTCCTGTTTGCGCAACGCCTCGCAATGAATCAATTTGCAATGTATTATACTTTGTAAGTGTAATTGGTTCTCTGTGAGCTTTCCATAAACAACAAAGCAAGCTCTGTTGTTTTGCGGAGCATGCGAAGGTTGATCGAGATGAGAGGGAGTGGTTTTCGAGCCGAAAAGCGGAGGGAAGTAAAAAAAAACTTGCACGGAATTTCTGCGACAATCGCAAACGACCTTCGGATTTATTAGGTGGTGTGTAATAATTACCTGTTGAGATTCCTAAAGTCGTGCACGTAGCTTCGACGTCTTTGCGCATTTGCTCGATGGCCAAATTGAGGACGGGTTTCAGTTGTTCCGTGCAGAAATCTTTTTCCTCTGGCTCCTCCATCTTCACATCGAAAGCGAAGTCGAATGGTTTTATGTTAAATTTCTTCTGGAAGCTCGTATCTCTCAGCACTTCCCTGAGTAGCTGATGGTCTTTGGGTTTCTCCTCGTACAATCCGGTAAAGTCGACTGTGCTCTCCTGCTTGATCTGGGTGCTGTCCAAGTATCCGTAGATGTTCTCGTTGTACTCTTTCTTAATATAATTTGGAACGTACTCATCCGAAGATGAAGTGTACAACGATAACTCTGGAGAATTTGGATAGAAGTTTGGAGAGAGCAACTGAGGAGAGTAAGGTGTTAAAGCTCCGATCGGCGAGTTTGGATGGTAGTTCTTGTGGGTGGGCACTTCCAAATAAATGCTTTCTGGTGAGTGTGGCGTCTCGGATGGAGCCAAAAGCTTCTGGAAATCTGGACCCAAATCCAGTTCCGCCTTCTCCTGCGGATAGTAATTCAGCTTTGTCGCTTGCGCTGCCGTCTGAAGATCAGGAAGCAAAGATAAATCAAAAGCGTCGGCGAAGTTGCTGTAATCACATGGGGGTGTGAATCCCGCCGAGGGGACAATCTGTGGCATCTGCAATACAAAAAGAAACAAAATCAATGATAAACTTCACCTTCATAAGTACATTGGCCTTTCGGCGTTATGCAACATCAAAAGATAACGTCGACGTGACGCACAAACCCAATAATCATTTGATGTTATCAGAAGACCATTTTTTTCGCGTTGCATCTTACACAAAAAGGATTTGATAGCAGAATTAACAAGAAATTGCTTAACTTATGTTTAGGCTTCGGTCGTGCTTTTTATTTCGCCACAATCAATAAATCATTGCATCAGCACTATCAAAAAAGAGTAAGATTAGAACGTAATTTACTCCAAATTTCAATGCTCAATCCAATTTGAAGCTAATTCAAATGCATTACTTTTGATATCTCTGAGTCACAATATTCCATACAGATACTCCATTTCTTTTCTTATTATTATTTATTTTTGTGGTTGATGTCTCTCAGAGTGCTCGATAACTTCTGGCCTTCAGGTTAAATGAATGCTGAAGATAATGCGGCGAGAAAAAAAGAGAGGAATACGTTATCTAAAAAAACTAAAATTGTTGATATTGTTAGAAGACTGTTTTGGCTCTCGAAACTTTTTGCGCAACAATGATAACAATATTTTGATATGACTAATAAATCAAAAAAAAAAGAAAAGAGTTTATCATCCTAACAACAACAACAACAACGAAGCGAAGCGCAATTTCTCTTCGTACGATCACCAAGAAAGGTACAAAGGTTTCCAATTGCGTATTGCAAATCGAGAGAGTGCAACAGGTTCTCCCACGAAATCTCTTTTTGAAGCGATGATACCTCGATGATTTCTCAACACGATTTCATCTCTCCCTTTCCGTGCATTGTTTCTTTTCTAATATCGCGATTCCAATTAATGAATCCCCCCGATCGATAGGTGGCATTTCTAAAAATACCAACGTGACGAATTCATCACCGCAAATGCAAAGGAATTAATGCGATCCGCGTCATTAGAATGATCTTAAATGGTCTATTAATAGTTTTTCGAAGAGAGCGGGGAAAAAAAGAAAAACTTGCAATTTGCATGATTTATCTTTCAGCCAGGTTCAAGAATTCCGAGCACGCGAATCGAATGGTAAAAGAAGGAAAGAAATAAAGCATAACTGGAAATAACATATATTTACAGTTTGTTTATGCGTTGCATTCATTGAAATTGTTTGTTCTCAATCTTCTTTTGCCGACATCTACTTTCCAAACGACTCTCAACTATTTATATACAAATCTATTAATTGTGCATGCTAATTATTTAAAATCGATTTCAATCATAGATTCACAATCTGAAAGACGTATTTATTCATTTCATATTATGCAATCACACTAATCATAACAATTTTGTTGCACATCTTGATCTTGGATGTGCGTCTTTATATACATTGTAAATAAAAAACAAAACGATCAATGAATCAATCCTTTAAATCTACAATATTGATTATTTTTGAAATAACATTTCATGTTTAAAAAAAATCGTTAGACCGATTATTTTTGTAATACTTCAACCTTGATCTTAACCCACAAGTTATTAGTTATATCAATTAATATAATAGATTAATTATTGCAATTTTGTCAGTTTCTTCCAAAATATTTCATCAAATAATTTCCTAAATTCAGTTCTTACTGAACATAAATTTTAAATCATAAATTGCTAAAAACAATTCTAAAATAATTAGACTAGATGAATTAAATAAATGAAATATTATTTCTTTAAATCATTTCAATATTGAATTATGTAGAGTAAATGGATTCTTTCTAAAATAAATATCTAATTAATTAGACTAAATAAATTATAATTAATGAAATTATTTATTTAAAATATAAAATTAATTAAAGCCAAATAGGTTATAAGTAAATTATGTACATTTAAATATATGTTTGCTAATATCGAAATATCTTAGTGCAAAATATTTATAACTAATGCAAAATAATGCTAATATTCGGTAGTAATCTTGTTTTATCGTTTACCGTAAACGTTCTGATTATGCAATCATTAAATTTAATTGCTCGCTATAGGGCTAATCTTATGTCATTCGAATTAAATTGTTTTTTGGTTTTGAACCAATTAGTGAATGTTTATCGTAATATTTGGCAATCATTTTGTACATTTGTCTGGGAATGGCTAAATTATTTATAATTATCGAAGTTATTAACATTTGTTTTTCAAAAATTAGTGCTTAAGATAAATTGAGTTTTGGTGGTAATAAAAACATCGTAAGTATTTTCATAATATTAACCAAATGAAAAACAGATAAATTATGTCTGTAGGGTTAATCTATTCAAATTAAATTAGTTTTGAACTAATTAGTGAATGTTTTTTGAAATATTTGGCAATTATTGTGTACGTTTTGCTTCGGAATGACTCAATTATTTATAACAATGAAAGCAATTAACATTTGTTTTCCAAAAATTTTAAGATAAACTTTGTTTTTTTTGTTGTTGTTGAAATAGTAAAAAGATCGTATTTATTGTAATATTTACCATTCATCTTATGGAGTAAGGAAAAGCAGATAAATTATGTCTGTAGGGTTAATCTATTCAAATTAAATGAGTTTTGAACTAATTAGTGAATGTTTCTTGAAATATTTGGCAAATTATTGTGAAAGCAATTAATATTTGTTTTCCAAAAATTTTAAGATAAACTTTGTTTTCTTTTTCTTGTGGAAATAAAAAAAGATCGTATTTATAATAATATTTACCATTCATCATATGGAGTAAGGAAAAGCAGATAAATTCTTGAAGGTAAACGTCGTTTTAGCGGACTCCTCAATCTTAGATGTTGTTAACAATACTGAGCGGAATTCGGCACTGCTAGGATAGATCATGTGCGTAGGTAAAGTTTAACGGCCTCAAAGATTATATTATAAGTTCACCTTGGGGGGATTGTGCGATCGTGAATTGCGGAATTAATTGTTTGAGCATCGCTCATCGAAATTGAGGAGAGACCAAGAAGAGGAGGGAAATAAAAAAGAAGAGAATTGAACAGCAAGTTTCCATAACAATTCTCAGGTTAGCGGTTACCAGAGACTCGACAAACAAAAAAAATGTTTAACGCAATAAGATAATAAAATGGTACGAAACTTTCCACTGCGCAGAAATTGTAGCAGATTAGCTTCTACATAAGCATCTTAATTGCGTTAAAAAATGAAAGGGAAATACGATTACTTTTTTTTAAATTTATTTTATTATTTTTTTCACTTCTTCTCTCCGAGTTGTTTGTCGTCCTTTCGTCCGTATTATTATGAAACCACGAAACTTTCACCGGTTCCAATAACTAAGTCATATACTTTGGAATTTATGCCGTAATTAATCGGTAGGTATTTTTTTTGAAATTTATTTTCGCCGTCTCTTTTCATCGTGGACTGCGCCGAAATTATTTATTAACGAGAAATTCAAGATGTTAAGACTCGATTTTATCGAAGAAAGTGCATTCTAGTTGGGATCAATTTTTTTTTTGTGGAGATCAGTCGAATCTCCTCTCATACTTTTGTTGCATCTTGCTTTTTTTGTATTGTTGTCTCCTGATTTACGGCAACACGAGAGCTCTTTCCGCCTTGGCTTCTCGTTCGTACGTTCGTTCTTGATCGTTTGCTTGTTGCTGCCTTCAAGGTGACGACTTAATGACTCCTCAACTTTGGGTTTTACCCGAAACTTCTTTCGCAACGAGCAATGACTAACGCGAATGTAAGAGGGAGATGGAACGATCGACACCTTCACACATTACGATTTACCAATCTCTTTGGTTACACAACAGGAATCGAAATCGACCACATGGATTCTAATCCTCGCTTAAATCGCGCATCCAATCAATTTATGCTAATTACTTATCGATAGCCGCGTGTGTTTGTATAACTAATTGCAGGTTTCCTAGAATTTCGCTAGGTTTGGTAATTAAAGAATAAGAGAAAATTAAAAGAATTGCATTGATCGTTTATTTATTAATGAAGATTATTATACTTTGTACCGTGCAAATATGATCATCAAAACATTGCTCATATTTTATATCAATGAATATCAAATTAATATTTCAATTTGCAATTTAAACTGTTTCTCTTCATAGATTTAATTGAATTAATTAGAATTAAATTCATTAAAACATTACTCATATTTAGCATCAATATTCTTAATATGTATTTATGAATTATCAAAAAAGTGCATTCAGAATAAAAACTTATTTGTTTTTCTTTTATCGCTTACAAATTCGTCTAATTTCTCGTATTATCAGTGAGATTAATTAAACTAATCACAAAAAAATAACAAATTAATTGAGTTGTTTTTTTTTAAATCGCTTATATTAATGATTTACAACATCGAAATCTGCAGCATTAACGTGATACTCTAGAAATCGATGGAAAAAAATATTCCAAGAAATCCACATTTAACAATGTAATTGCTTTCAAAAAAATTACAGGTTACATCGTACACGTTTACGTATTTGAAACCAGTTTTGTAATTTGTTATTGGATGCTGCAGTCTCTGATGTACTCATGTAAATCCTCACGTACTGCAATCTCCGAACTTTGTACTTGGTCTCTTCTCTCTTCACTCGCGATTGGAACCAATAAGAATCGAAATATACTTTCATAAATACATTCCACAAGTTGATGAAATCATTATTAGATAAAAAAAAGTTTTAAGTTTAAATATTTTAGTTTTTATACTTAATCATCAGTGAACTTAAGTTAATACTTATTCTGTAATCTGTTTTAAAATTATATTTTTTTTTAAATAAATTTCAATTGTATTTTAACACGTACTTAACGATCAGTTAGAAAGGAAACCTCAAAACACATACATTTATAATACATAAATATAAATGTATACCAAGAATAGAACTATAAAAATTTAAATAAATCACTTTAATACATCAAAATTACATTTGTATTAAAAAAAAAGTTTTAAAGTAATCGTATTATAGTAAATGAAGAATGGTAAATGAATAAATAATATCTCTTTGTATGTGTTACAATACTTGCAACAAGTAGCAACGTGGCAACACATTTACCGAAACGTGTTTAAATTGTTAATCAAGTCGATAAACAAGAAACGTTTTGCCGCAGCACGACTGAAGAAGACCGCAAGAAATCTATTTTCTGCAATTAAATCGTAACTAGATCTCACGTTTATTTCGCATTAATTGATAATAACACTTTAGAAATACAGTTAAATTATTCACTCTGCCATCATTAGATTGTGCTGTTCGAGCTTATTATTTTTTTTTGTTATAAATTTCCATTTAGAAAGATATAATAAATTACATAAAACCCACGGAGCGAATGCAATACTTATGTAATAAATTGTATGTAGAAAATTCTATATTTTCAATTTGCAAAACAATCTGCAATATTTAGATGTTTGATAGCCTCATAAATCTATTTTTATGTGATTTATTCCTCACCGCGTGTTATAAGTTCACTTATTTTGCGACGCGGATTTCAGTTCGTGCTCTGTTTTAGATTCAAAGCAATTATCATACAGTGTTTAAACTTGTTTTTTAATAAATCGTTATCATCAAAGAGCATCGGTCATCCATTGCTTAACTTTTCTATAAGCTGTCAAATTACAAGATGAGCGCCATCTAGTGTTTAATAATTAAGTTCTCTAATAAGAAAAAAGAAACGTATGTATTTAGAAATTTATTGTCACAAATTATTAATTATGCAATTTATTTAAACGAAAATCTTTTCAATAGCAATAATTACAAAACAATGATCAATACAGTAAAGAATTATTTTCATGGAACGAAATTTAATAACTACGACCAGAAGACCTTTAGTTAATGATGTATTGTAGTCTAGATCGTGACTAAAAATGACGTGTTTTATTTTTTTGCTGTTTAATATTTATACTGTTAGAATAATTTAAGTTATTTATTTCTTGCCCATTTTCTTAACATATTTATTCGAAAATTTGCTTTTGATGGAAGGAATTATTTTATTTCTTTTATACAGATCGTATAGTATAATTATTGCTATAAAGTTTTGTGTAATTGCTTTCAATGAAAGATCAAATGGATATAATAGTAGAAGAGTTAATTATGTAAAAACTTTATATCCCGGATTAAGAGGTTGGTATTTAATTTAATAACATTATTAAGATGTTCGGTTTTTAAATGTTAATTAATCCCGCATAGAAAGCGTAATGGCAGCTCGGAATATTACCAATCAATTGGATTCGTCCCGAACCTAATTGCATTTTCCAAGCAGTTGCGGCAAATAATAGCGATAACAATTAACCTGACGCTATTAGAAGAATAGTAATAAAGAACGACGAAAACAAAAAAACTTTCCTCCGGTCGCATTAACAATACAAATTCTACGTGTAGAAAGCTGTTAGACTAATGAAACAACGAAGCTTTCCAACAACGACAATAAGATTGGATTACGTAAGCTGGGCCCTTTGAAAGAAGTCTTCGGAAAGTTGACGCAGAGGAAGAGAAGAGAAAAAACATGCGGTACGGGTTCTTCGACGAAGTGAACGGTGGTTTTTCAGATGCAGCTAGGTCATCTTTGTTAAAGCGCGTTATTTCTATTCTATGTTATTTAACTTGTTAAAGAGTTCGATTAGCGCCGAAGAAGGGTGCAATATGAACTTACAGATTCATCCATTTCGTTGTTGCATCTGTTCAGAAGTACCATGTCCAGTCTTGAATGATTATCGAAGGGCACAGAACAATGTAATGTAAAAACGCACGTGAGTTTCCAAATAAAAAGTGGGCCTTGTTGCGTTTTGTATAAATATATATAGATAAATAAATAAATAAATAGGTGATATTTTTGTTTGTTACGAAATCGTGTGTTTTGTTTGTGATTTGTAACAGTTGTCGTTGCTCGCGGGCTGAACGACTCGGACTGAATGGCTAAGCGCTCTCAACCAACCTACTTAGTTTGTTGGAAGTCTCAGCTCTCGACGATTACTTAAGTCGCGCTACACTCGCGCACCGAGTGATAGTTGTTTTTGCCCCGATCGCGTAAAGCTATTTCATCTTGGAAAATGCGTTCATTTCGCACAAAAATCGCGAAACCGCAAAAGAAAACTTTGGCCAGTTTCACTCGCATAATTCCGATGCATCTCGCTTTGCGTTTACGTAATCCCCCCGCATGAGTATTAACAAGTTTTTCATTCTGATTGCGTCGTTTTATTGTAATTTGTTAACAGGAAACAATGATTCATTGTCGTATTTTTCGGACCATAAGACAAGATGCGTCTTACAGAGAAAAATCAATTTTGATTTAAACCATATTATATAACAATTATAATAAAAAAAAATACGGTACTTTTTTAATTAGATTTGATAAACTTAACATAATTGAGATACTTAAAAACTTGGAATTGGGGTGTGTCTAGGGTATCCTAGTTTATCCTGATTTTTCTTTAAAAAGGTAAATATTTTTAGTAAAAACCGGCTTACCCATACAAAAACATATACACTTTTACTTAATGAAGAAGCAACATTAATTGAAAAAAATATTTAATAATAACAAATAAGAAATAAGTTTAATATATATCAAAACACTTTTTGAAATATTCAGAAATATCCAGTCTTTTATAAAAATTAAATTAAAATTTAAAACAGCTGTACCAACTTTAGACAATAACTAAACTAATACCGACAGATTAATTATCTAATTGGTGTATTTTAATGAATTTTAGGTATAACTGGCAAAATCACCCTCAATTTGCGACTTAAAAAAATACCAAAATTACCGGTATTTCTTATCAAAATTTATCGGTAAATTTTGTAATCATATTAGTCTGTAAATCTTGTCAATCGTTTACCGGCTGTAGGTGTGTCTTTTGTGAAACTTCTAAAATATCCTAATCAATTTTGTATACTATACTATGTTTTGAATTTGACTTTATCACCTAATTATTTAAATAATTCACTTACATAAGTTTCTCACTCTGTATTATTATAATTTTTCAAGAAAATTTATTGTTAATATTCAAATCCGACCTATGGTCTATAGTTCCTTGTATCAGTTGACTTTTTTGAAATTATTTATATTTATATTTATTTTGTTTTTTTATTTCTGTATATGTTTTTTTTGTACAACTGATGCAATAAACATTATTATTATTATTTTATTCAAATCCAGCATATAGAAATCAGCGTTTATGAATATCAATAGTTTCTCACTATCGTGAAATGACAGCTGTCAATATAGGTCAATTGACAGCTGTCATTTCATGACACATTAAAATTCATAGGTTGAGAAACGCGATTCATAGGTTGAGAAACGCTGATGTAAATAATACACAACTGACCTAATTACTTCAACTACAATATTTTAAAATTTATTTCATTAAATTTTGTTTATATTATTATAATTAGCAATATTTTTTCTGACAAATATTTATTTACAACCTGAATCTTTGACGATAACCTTATATTTTATATTTATTTGAAAATAATCTTGGAAATTTGTGTGTATTTTGATGCAGATGTTTACGTATTTTTGAAATTTAAATCGAATTCCATTAAAAAGTTGATAAGAATTAATAATGTTATGTATTTTATTTATGTTTATATATTACGCCAGATTTTCTTTCTTGCACAAGTTTTTGTGTTTTGATAGGTTATTTTTTCTGGAGGAAATGCCCTTTTCTTATTATAATTTAACTTTATTTATTAAGCAAAATTCAGTTTAGAAAGGAACATTTTGTATTTTTCTTAAATGATAACAACAACGTTTTTTTGTAACAGCTATAAAATGAAATAAATAATTAGAAAAAAATACAAATTTCAATGTATTGAAAAAAAACTTAAATTTTGTATGATTTTTATTAATAAAT